GACTATTTGTCGCATCAACTTAACTTATATTAATATCCTAACCCAACTGAATAATTTAACTATATGTAAATATCGACTATTTGTTGCATCAATTTAACTTATATTAATATCCTATCCCAATCAAAAAATGGAACTATACATGTATGTAAATATCGACTATTTGTTTCTCCATTTTAACTTATATTGATATCCTAACCCAATCGAATAATTTAATTATGTGTAAATATCGTTTAAATTTTCAGTCTATTTAAAGCTTTAACATTAGATTGACCAGCTTATCCAAATGTTTGTAGACATTGTTTTTCATGTAATGGTAAATGACGATCTCAATCAGACCATCCCATGAATATTACACGAATATTACCAGTTATCACTGAGTGATAGAAAAAAAACCCCTAAAATCTCCGATAACCTTTGATTTTCAGTATAAAACACCCTTTAACCGAACTCTTAAATCATTTGATATATTGTTACGACAGCGGAAGTCGCGCGAAGCTGGGAGCATGCGCGCTGGAGTTTCTAGAAGGATCGTGACTTAGCGGGCAATCTCACTGATGTCCAAGCGTTTCCTAGACGCCCATTTTTTTAGTATATAAGCCGGAGGTAGATTGAAGAGAAGTAATCGAGTCAAGCGAGCAGTAGGCACCGTAAGTAAACTGTGTGAATCGCTGTGAATTATAGCGTGTGTTTTTAAAAGTAGTTAAGTTTAAAGTGACTTTGGAAATTAAGTGCATTACAAAGTTTGTAACGAGAAAGAATAAACTAGTTTTAATTAAGAAACAACTCGTATCGCTGAAATTTCTAGGAGAGAATTTTTACGAGAAATTATCAAACAAGCAGATGCTAAAAAATTGGTGTCAGAGAGTGGGACAGAAAAGAAGAAAAAAAGATCGAAACGAGAAGTGGCAAATCAAACTACAGCTTAGCAGATTTGATGGCAGCAATACAATAACAGCAAAAGAAAAAAAAGAACGAGAAAAGAAACAAGAAGAGAGACAGCAACAGTGGCAAGAAAACCTGCAACACTGGCAGCTCGAACAGCAAAATAAACAAGCGAAACTACAACAGTTGTTGGAGGAAAAAGAAAAGAAACAAGAAGAGAGATTGCAGCAGTTGTTCGAGGAAAAAGAAAAGAAACAAGAAGAGAGGCTACAGAAGTGATTGTAGGAGAAAGAAAGTAAACAAGAGACACTACAGCAGTGGTTGGAGGAGAAAGAAAATGAACAAGAAGAGAGACTACAGCAGTGGTTGGAGGAGAAAGAAAATGAACAAGAAGAGAGACTACAGCAGTGGTTGGAGGAGAAAGAAAATAAACAAGAAGAATGACAAAAGAAACAAGAAGAAAGTATCCTACAATTGAGAAAAAGCCAGCATACACAAATGGAAAATATTAATAAATTTCAAAATGAATTAAATACAATAAAGGACGATTTCCTGTCCTTTACACAGGGAGGATATATTAACCATGGACATAATCAGCCCCAGACAAAAGGAAGCCCTTCCAGACCCCGCACCTAAACCATAATGCAGACATCTTCAGTCCTGCAAAAAGTCACATTCCAGTCACGATTGTCAGCAATAGGGGTGATCCAGTATGAAGGAAGCCACAGGAATTCGATGGAAAGGCACCATGGAAAGCATATAGAGCACAATTTGAGCTACTGGCAGAAATGAATGGATGGACAGAGGAGCAGAAAGCATTGTACCTCGCAACGACCCTGAAGGGACAACCACTGGAAATACTTGGACAGTTGTCAGCAAACGACAGGCACACCTATAGAGCACTGGTAGCTGCTCTAGAACTCAGGTATGGAACCCAAAATCAGTCCGAAGTATACAGAGCTAGGTTTAGGACTAGAGTCCGTGCTAAAGGAGAAAGCCTGCAAGAGCTGGCACAGGATTTGGAAAGTATGGCGCACAATGCCTACCCAACTGCACCACCCAATATCCTCAAGTTGTTGCTGAGGAATCA